CTGCGCATCTTCCCTATAGTCCTTACAACCAGGAAAGTGGGTTGATGATAGAAGATCAAGAGTCTCACTACCAGAGTTTGTCCACGTACCATCACTTCGCTTAATACTTCCTATGAATTTTGGATCCTTAGAGAGTACTCTGCGGAATCTGGCCGCTTCGTTGACTCCTTCGATCGACTCGCTATAGCAGACCCAAGACTCACGTTTAGCTTTCTTGATTTCGCCCTTGTACCTATTGAATTGTCTTTTATAGACATCCCAATCTGTACTGAGCTTTGTCTTACTAGCTCTATTATAAGCTTTCCTTGCAGCCTTCCGCAAGGTTGCAAGGTCCTGTGACCACCATACCGGCTGAGATTTCTTCCCAGGGTATGTTAGAGGACAAGATGCCTCATAGCTCTTCAGAAGAGTGGCCGTGACATTTTTCACAGCTAATTCAACATCCTCAACCGTTTTGAGATCATTACGATCCCGAAAAGAGGCCGCTGTTTTAGCTTTGAATTTGTCCCAGTTCGTCTTCCGAGGATTCCTATAAGGTTTCTGTTTAGCTCTAGAGGTAGGAATCTGGAAGGATATGAGTCTATGATCCGAGAAGGAACATTTCTCAGACACCTCCCAGTTTACGACCCCAGAGTCGTCCATATTTGTGAGGGTTATATCGATGACTTCACCTCTCACCCTATTAACAAAAGTTGGTGTATTGCCTCTATTACAAATTCTAAGATTATAGCTAAGTATAAACTCGAAGATGGACTCACCTCTTGTGTTTGTGTTGCTGCTTCCCCAATGGAAGTGATGTGCGTTGGCGTCACATCCCATGATGATATCACCAACTCTGCTCATCTCCTCCAATAGGCGGCATACAACAGTGCCGGGTGGGTCAGGAGCTTCATAGGGAAGATAGACGGCAGAGACTATCAGTGGCTTCGTGGTACCTCTGTCTAGTCTTGCTGTCGTCATATCTCCATTGCTGAAATTAGAAAGAAGCATTAAATTTAACTCCTTTTTAGCAAGAATACACGTTCTCACCTTCTCTCCATTGGAGGTAGACAAAAGCGTGTAATTGCTGTCGCCCAGTCCAGTCACCTTACCTTTGTACAGGTAAGGTTCCTGGATGAGCGCCACGTCGATGTTTGAGGAAGAAAGGGTGAGTAGCAGTTCAGCAGCTGCTGCTCTACAGTGATGCAGATTAATCTGAATCACGTTAAGCACTTGCTGCTGCCTGCCTATTGTTTTGGAGTGGTGAGGCGGAAACAAAGTTTCCCCATTCCATAAACAAGCTCACCCTTGTTCTTCCTCAAGTACTCCTCTCCCGCAGAGTCAGTTGCGAACTTCGCGACTACACCGCCGTTCCTTTCAAACGAGGCGAGGATTCTCCACCTCCTCGTCTGAAGGCCGTCGTTCTGCTTCTCCAATAACCTCAGTGTCTTCTCCAGCCCCTTGAAAGGTTTTGGGATAAACACCGAGGTTACCATACCGCTCGGTATCTCTCGAACCGCTACGGCTGCCAGACGACCACCCTCCCAAAGGGGGTCCAGGCTGTTGATTGTCTTCTTAAGAAAATCTGAAGTCTTCTTAGTGCGACAATCAACAACCTTTACTCCTTTGTAAGAGGAGGTCAGGCCAAACCGCAGGCTCTCTCGATCAACCTCGTCGGACAGGAAGAGGTCCTTCAGATAGCTGTCGACCAGCTCCCATCTATCCTCACTGATAAACCCGTCAGGGTCAGCTCGGTCGATGATCGCTACCCGCAGATCTTCCGGAACCTCTTTCGGATCAGCAGAGTCGCTTTGCTCAGTTGTAGGTGTCTGGGGTACCTGCTTCGAGACAGCGTGTTTGGTTTTCACCCCACAATCGCTGCTCTTGGCAGGTTTCTCCTTCGACGCTACCACCGAAGCAAAGGAAGCAGAGCTCTGTACGGCCGACGACTGCGTGGGCCTCTTTGCAGCAGGTTGTTGCTCCTCCGAGGACCTCATTCTCTTGACAGCCGTGGGCTGTGGCCGAGATTTGGCACCCGGGGTAGCAGCTACTGCAGAGGTATGCCCAGCAGACGCAGGCACCTGCTTCACGTTCGCTACCTTCTGCTTGTCCACTGGCGACTGCCCAATTGTCACCGCCTTGGCTGTCAGCTTTGGCAATTCGGCAGAAGGTGGATTGACAGAGGGCGGTTGTGCCTTATCGGTCTTCTTGGAGGCATTTTTACGGGCTCTCTTTCGGGCCGACTTCGACAGTCCCCTGCCTTCTGTCTTTGTGGATTCTGATGTCTGGGACGTCTCAGTACTCAGTTTACCCTTTGGGGGTGCTGAGGGCTTAGACGTCTCAGGCATCAGCTTCCTGGATGTACCGGGGCCATCAGCAGGTTTCTCCTTCTTAAAAGGGACTACCGCCGTGGTCTTAGTACTGTGTCGGAGGATCCTATCAATCAAGAAGTCCCTCTCAATATCATCAGGATAGTTCCTAGAGAACTTCCTAATGAGTTTGAGGTTCCTCTTGATTAACAGGAACTCCTTCCCCGTGATGGAGTCACTGTCCCGTCCAATGTACCGTTTGCAGAAATGTACTGCTCTCCGATACATTTTCTTGGCAGCGATCTCCTTAGCGTCAGCTTGTCTATCAGATAGTGGTACCGATGAATCATCCATCTTAACGATGGGAGCCTCATCGGTGCCAGCATCTGCTTCGACAGGCAACTGCCTGAGAAGCCTCGCGACGTCACTGCAGGCCGTGGAGGTTGAGTCGATGTCTACAACCTCGCCAGGGTTTGCCTCCTTAGTCAGCCGAGAGGACCCTCCTTGCTTCAGAGGAGACACCATGGTTTCTACTGTGTTTATCACCGTGGTTCTAATCACCGTGGTTTCCATGATGTCATTTTCGTCCGACAAGAGCGAGTCATCCCAGAGCTGATTTGGGATGCTCTCCTGACTGAGGCGGTTAAAAATTGGCTCCATAAAAAAGTGCTGTATGTGAGGATTTGAGGTCGACCATGGCATAGCCTCTTACCATGGCAAGGACTTGGCAACTAAGCCTGAAACACTTGCTGAGGCGCCCAGGTATCAACAAGGCTCCGTTCTAATACAGTCGGTACCCTGACTGCAAACGCTGATAGGCACGAGGTCGCATGACACCCCAGCGTTAGGGGGGACACTTTAAGAAGGTAGTGTCCCAAACCTTGAGATGGATATATGGGAGGAGGCGCCATTCTCGCCTCGTCGACTCAGGGATCATTGGCACTCGGTCATTTCCTCCGAGACTCTCCCCCTGAGCCCGCTGATTGTCCGCGACTGTTTATTGGTAATTAACAGTTACCCAACGAATGGTGTTGGGCTTCCCACTATCCGCAACCTGTGGACGCGTCCGATAGCATTCAGCTTTGCTCCCCGTAGGCGGAACGCGGTGACTTTTGTCCATTATATTTTAAATACATTAGCTCTGTCTGTTTACTCGATATTTGGTAACATTTGTTACCAAATGTAACTAAATGTTGTCTGTTTAGCCAAAAATCCAGTAAAAGAGAGTCAAGTGAGAGAGCAAGTTTGACAGTTCAACAACAACAAACTTACTGGAGTTTACTGAAAGAATTTTATTCAGTAAGATTTTGCAAACTCAGTCATTTTGAGATCAGCTGTTTTATGACCAAACACAAAAATTATTCAAAACATTTTTTTTAATTTGCAAAGTTCAATTTGAAGTTAAGTTGTATCAAAATTACAGAAAATGGAAGAAAATTCGTAAGTAATGCAAAGTTTCATTAAATTAGAAACTAATTACTTATATATTTTTAGGCAAGTTCCAGATAGAAGGCAATGCATGATGCAGGAAGCTTAAATGTTCCCGGGGAACATACCAAATCAATTTTTCTTTTATTGTTCATTTTATTTTTAATATTAAATGCAATACAAATAATTGTGTTTGTCCTTTGTTTGTTTATTTTGGCGCAAATCATATGTTTTCTTGAATCAGCTGTTTATTTGCTCAGTATTATCGCAAAAGAGAGTAAAAAAGGCTTACTCTCTGAACTAGAACTTACTGAATAAATGTTACTGGAAAAGTAACCAGACACACCAATTATGTTATCGAAAATATCCAGCTCACACCCGCCTTATGTATCCCTATTTTGTAGCGTGAATCCACCAGCTGATTGATATTCTTCCATGTCTCTTTCTAAACAAAGCGTTAATATTGCCCTTACTCATCGCCGTCATTCGTAAACAATTCCTACCTCCCGCCATTTTGTTTCGATTATGGTTTTTATCAGTAATTATCTGCTGTCTCCAGCTATTCGTAGCATGCGGAACGACATTAAAATAGGTCGGTTCATTCGGCAAAAGGCTCGCAAAGGAGATTTGATCGACTTATAAGAATTATAAGATACAACATACAGCCATTCGCCCACTATCGAGATATAATTAATTTCCTAAGTACGAAGAAAGTAAAACAAATATACATTTTTTTGTTATGTGTGAAAACATTGCTAACGGAAACCTGCGTGTCGAAATGCGGTGTCGTTAAATTGTATATAGACGACTAGACGATGTTGTGATTTGTTGTTGTCATTTGTGTGTTCTTGACTTTTTTACGTAAAAGCTGGGTCGGCGGAGGGGGCACATATTGGTTAAGTGCGTATTTACGAATATAATTTGATATGAATCATGGAATAGTGTGCTTGTGAATTGACAGAGTGCTATGAGCTCTCCTTCACGTTTTGCAACCTCGCATGCCTGCCTGCATCCATCCATTCATCCACCTGTTATTGCATTTCAAATATTTGTCTATACACGCTTGGCCCTTTAGTCGCCGCTTGTTAATCGTTCCAATTGTACATCTCTTTGCAGTTGTTGTTGTGTCAAATTGAATGTCAGATTTCATCCCATGCCGTATGCTCGTGTATTGACGAATAAGAGAGTGAAGAAGATAGAGAAATAATACGACACATTGAGACGAACGCCTCATATGTGCGGATACCGTTCGAACGATTTATAAATGCAATAAAACAGCACAGCAGCCGAACTCATCCTAATTGGTTTGGATCGATGTGATTTACTGGTCGTTGTCAACCACATCTTACGATTTCGTAGTTACGCAGCTCCATGCCGACACAGTATATATGGCTTCCAATGCTAAGGTTGGGGAAATTGTACTTGTAATTGCTGTGTCCGTATTTCTGTACTATTTCTTTTGGGTATCAATTCTGCCGTTTATGCTTATTGACGAAGGTAAGTTGGAAATCCAATTGAATCTTTCAACGATTGGCTAAGATGAACTGTTCGCTGAGTCCTACTATAAGGTTACCTTGAGGATAGTTGAAAACCATGATAATTAAATTCTATTCCGATTACTAGGTTCAATATTTGCGATCTGAAAAAAACACACATGAGTACGTTCTTTTTCTTCAATGTCATTCAATATATTTTTGTGATAAGCATTCTAGAATTGTATTAAGCCGACGTTAAGGTATACAATAGAATGTGGCTGGCCGTATAAGTGTATTATGGATTATACATTTCCGGAGTTATCTTTAAAACTGTGTACAGACTCGTGGGAATGTAGTATTACACCCGGGCACATTTTAATATATTAAACAGATGGTAGGTGGGTTTCGTATGTTATTCTTAATAGACATAACGGCTAGAATGTGTCTCCGTTGATGTTTTTTTGTTTTGCTATCGAGAAGTGTATCATCTAGTGACCATTATAATCCACATCATTGTATGGTATATATATAAGAGAGAATTTCAGACTAGATGTTGGAGTATTATAAGATGTCAAATGTCTATGTGAAAAAAGATCTTTCACACTAATTTGATTTAGATTTTTTAAGTTAGATTTTAAAATTTTCTTTATAGTTATGTATATTCCGTCTGTACTCATCGTTTTTCAATAGTGCAAATATTTATAGAGCTTGTTTAAAATCGGTGCACTTACATGATTATTGTAAACTTAATTACATCTCATAAACGGCAAATTATTTACATTTACTACAATAATGATAACACAATGATAACCTTAACTAATCTTAATATTAATGTGATTTATTTGATTTCAGGCAATCTAATACATTCGTTCTTTCCCCCATTGGAATACGCATTCATTTTACCAGCTATATTCGGTGTCATATTCTTGGGTGGCATTGCTGTATTCTCTTTGTATCATATTTGGGATTATATACGAACAAAAACGGTTTAAACGCCGCAGGATAAACTATTACCGGAATCTGTACTACAATATTATACAGAGGCTAGCATTATTCGAATTACAAAATGCCACAGTGGTTAGTAATTGGAATTTCGGGAGTGACGTGCGGTGGCAAAACAACACTGGCACACAATTTACGAGACTATTTTCAAAACTATCGCAATGCCACGCTTTGGAACACACCGTACACCGTTAGTGATGTACAACTAATATCGCAGGATGATTATTTTCTGCCAGTCGATGATTTGCGACACAAGTGGGTGGAACCATTGAATGCTATTAATTTTGAGCTGCTCACATCTTTGGATATGAAACAAATGCTCTCTGACATAACATGGACAATGAAGGGTCGCTACTTGGCTGGTGATCCCATGGAGAACGTTGACTACAACAATGACATGACCCTTTACAGTGGTAAATTGGACCACTTTCCCACACAAACACAACAGTACAACACCAACTACATTGGTCAGCAACACCAGGCGCCACACCATGACAATATTCACAACATTTCATCGAAATCGGTGCACAACAAGTATGCCTATCATCAGCATTTCTCCCACAACACCTCATCCCATCATAGTGTAAGCAACAATTCGAATCAGAATCATTCAACAGCACACATAATGCGCATTAACTCACAGATGATGACCCAAATGAGGGACAATAAAATAAACATCTTGATTATAGAGGGTTTCATGATTTTTAACCAGCCTGAGCTTCTGACGCTGTGCAACATCAAATTTCACTTTCATCTGCCCTATGAAAAGTGCTTCGAACGCCGACGCAAACGTACCTATGATCCTCCAGATGTTGTCGGCTACTTTGAGATGTGTGTGTGGCCCCACTACGAGAAGAACTTTATGGAGTTTCGAGATCGCAAGGATATAACATTTTTAAATGGGGAAATAGCCAAGGACAAAATTTTTAAATACGTCTTGAAGCGCATCTCTCAATACTTTGAAGAACGTTGTGATGTTGCTTGTCCTCCGCCTCAGAAACTACTGGGCATACCGAGTTGCAGCAATGGTAATATGACGAATCCCTCTCTTCAAACATGTCCAATGGAGCAGCAGTGAACAATTGGCAAAACACATTTATCCCAGTACATGTACATATCGACAAATGGGATCGATTATCCTAAGATATTTGTAAGGGTATATCCGTTAAAATCTATTTTCAAAAAGGATTGGATTGAAATTGGCTAAGAAAATGTCTCGCCGATACACATTTCATTTTGTGGTTAAGCCCGGTGCACATTTTATGTAAATATGTATAATATTCTACTGCTATTTATTTACATGTATAGGTTTTATATACATACATATAATATGCTATTAATATTCGATGGTTCTACTATTTAAGTGTAATCTAAGAAATTGAAATAAATGAACAAACATAAACATGGAGTAATTGCATGAATGTAATATTGATGAATAAGTTTCATTGGACACTATTTTTGAAGAAGAGGAAGTTCTGAAGGACTTGCAAAATTGGTCTGGGGTAAAAATTCTGTAGGTACCATTAAATCAGAGGATTTCAAGACATATACAGTTAAAATAAATTGGTCCACCCTGTCAAACGCCTTCTTTAGATCCATAGAGAGTAAGACTGAAAGATTTTGATCATTAACCCTTTGTGGCCCACAGGCAACAAAATGTTTTAGAGCTTATAGTTAATATGCAGCTAGTATTATGGACGACACATATCAAAAGAAAAATCAAAAAAATTAAAATTTTGGTAAAGTTATGAGCTTTGTCTTACTAGTTTATAATAGAGCTAGTAAGACAAAGCTCAGTACTGATTGGGATGTTTATAAAAGACAATTCAATAGGTACAAGGGCGAAATCAAGAAAGCTAAACGTGAGTCTTGGGTCTGCTATAGTGAGTCGATCGAAGGGGTCAACGAAGCGGCCAGATTCCGCAGAGTATTATCTAAGGATCCAAAATCCATAGGAAGTATTAAGCGAAGTGACGGTACGTGGACAAACTCTGGTAGTGAGACTCTTGATCTTCCTGGTTGCAAGGACTATAGGGAAGATGCGCAGTGTGTGCATCAGCCTACAGTTCGGAAGAGGAGAAGATGATAGAAGATACTATAAGATACCCAAAACTGGTATGGGCGATAAACAGTTTTCATCCCTATAAATCTCCTGGTTCAGATGGTATAATACCGGCCATGCTGCAACACGCAGATGAACGTATAATATCATTTCTGCAGGAGATTTTTAGAGCTTGTTTACTTCTGTCGTACATAGCAAGTCTATGGAAAGAGGTTACCGTGACCTTCATCCCGAAAGCCAGGAAGCCGAGTCATACGTTACCTAAAGACTATAGACCGATTAGCCTTTCTTCCTTTCTACTAAAAACTTTAGAAAAGTTACTAGACTCAGAAATTAGGAATACCATTGACCGTAGTGAACTTAGTAAATCCCAGAATGCCTACATCAAAGGCAACTCAGTGGATACAGCTCTGCATGAGGTGGTTGGATGCATCGAGAAGAATATGGAGTCCTCTGGCTACACGTTGGCAGCATTCCTCGATATCGAAGGAGCTTTCAACAATGTGAAGCTAGAGGCAATCCATTCTGCTCTCGTAGGCATAGGTATCCCCTCACTCCTTACGGATTGGATTGATAGAATGCTGGAAAGCAGAATTATCAACTCATCCTTAGGAGAGAGTTCCGTGAGGAAATCTGTCAGCAGAGGCACACCTCAGGGAGGAGTACTTTCCTCCCTTTTGTGGCTTCTGGTGATAAATGAGATACTTATGAAATTTAATCATCTCAGGATAAAGGTTGTAGCCTATGCCGATGATGTAGTCTTGCTGGTTGGGGGTAAGTTTATAACGACAATAGCTCTGTCTGTTAACTCGATATTTGGTAACAATTGTTACCAAATGTTACTAAATGTTGTCTGCTTACACAAAAATCCAGTAAAAGAGAGTCAAGTGAGAGAGCAAGTTTGACAGCTGAACAACAACAAAGTTGCTGGAGTTTACTGAAAGAATTTTATTCAGTAAGATCTTGCAACCCATTTTCTGATCAGCTGTTTTCTGACCAAACACAAAAATTATTTGAAGTTAATTACAGAAAATGGAAGAAAATTCGTAAGTAATGCAAAGTTTCATTAAATTAGAAACTAATTCCTTATATATTTTTAGGCAAGTTCTAGATAGAGGGCAATGTATTGATGCAGGGAGCTTAAATGTTCCCGGGGAACATACCAGATAAATTTTTCTTTTATTATTCATTTTATTTTTAATATTAAATGCAATACAAATAATTGTGTTCGTCCTTTGTTTGATGTTTATTTTGACGCAAATCTAATGTTTTCTTGAATCAGCTGTTTATTTGCTAAATCTTACTGAATGTTGTCTGTTTACTTTTTTCAGTATTATCGCAAAAGAGAGTAAGAAAGGCTTACTCTCTGAACTAGAACTTACTGAATAAATGTTACAGGAAAAGTAACCAGACACACTTAATATCAGACATCCTGGAGGGTGCCCTTTCAACCCTGTCAAATTGGGCTGGCACCAAAGGTCTTGGTGTAAACCCCACTAAAACCGAACTGGTGCTCTTCACTAGGAAACACAAAATTCCTAGTTTCCGCTTGCCATCTCTTGGTGGAGTGACTTTAACCCTTTCTGATGAAGCTAAATATCTTGGCACTATCCTAGACCGCAAGTTACTGTGGAATAGGAATGTTGAGGAAAGCTGATGACGTTTTTAGGGGGGATATTCATATCACATTTACATGTGAACATATTCCCCCCATAGTAGGGAATCCCGATATTACGGGACCGGTGACTATTTATGCAGATAGTCAGGCGGCCCTGAAAGCGGTGAAGGCTCATGCTATAAACTCGAAAGCAGTTCATGATTGGAAGACCGCTCTGAATGATATACGACAAATAGTTGGGCTATGCTGGGTTCCAGGACATAACGATATTGAAGGGGATGAGGTAGCCGACGAGCTTGCTCGAGGGGGGTCACAGTCGTAAAGTCTTCTGATTGAGAGATCTGTGAAACCACCCATCAGCTATTTCATTGGCAGAATCCGCGCGTTCCATTGCGAGGTAGTCGGTAACAGACGGTTAAGGGAACCTGCTTGCAGAATCTCTAAATCTATCTGGCCAGAATTCTCTCGCTGCTGGATCACAGCAAGAGGGAGATCAAAATTGTTGTGGGGATTATTACTGATCACTGCAAAGTTAGATCTCTCACTTCTAAGTGGGACTCCAGTGGAGAGGATTACTGTCGTCTATGTGAGGACGAGGAAGAACTGGAAACAATTGAGCACATCCTCTGCAAATGTCCATCGCTGATCAGCAGAAGACATAAACAGTTTGGATGTCATGAAATTGATAATGTAGTCTTCTTCTCTAAAATAGACCCTAACCAAATTCTATGATTTGTCAAAAAATTGACTTGGCTAAAATAATCTCTCTTCCGACCTCCCTTTTTTCTCACTATTCTTCTCTCTACTTTTCCACTATCTTTTTTTCTTTTCTTTATAGATATACCTATATATAAAGGATGATCACAATGGACATAGTTTCCGAGTGGACGGTTGTTACAACAACCGTACATCCCGTACATCCAATATAGAGATGAGGGTAAATTTGTGTACAGTACTAATTTGTGTATACAGTCCAAATTATTTAAATCGCTTCGTATTCAAATTGTACAAATTCTGCCATCAAAATTATTTTTGATTCTTGTAAAAATTAATATAGAGATTTTGTCGATTTTGCATTTGGTTTTCTTGATATTGGACTTTATTTTTTCCGAAAGAATGTACGGTATCTTCGAATGCAATGATGTAGCGATGTCAAATTTTGTGCATGACCTATTTAGGATACAACTATCCTAAATGGGTCATTCTGTGAACAGAAATTTGTTCTAACATTGCGGAAAAATTCGGGACTCTAAAGGTTAGAATTCCTTCTAATAGTATCTGTTACTCAAACAAATAAATAAGCAGTACTCCTATTCTCACGAAAGCCACACTGAGTATCACTTAATAACTGCTTTGAGTTTGTATACACCAGCAACTGACGCTTCAATACATGTTCAAGCACTTTAGATAGAATAGGAAGAATGGAAATAGGTCTAAAGTTATCAATTCAATTTTTGAAATATTTCAATATTTGAAATCAAATAGATGGTATTCCTAACTTTGAGGTCTTGTAACCTTTCTTGTGTCTTGAGTATAAAGGAAGATAATAAGGCTAATCGTGTGACTCGGCTTCCCAGCTTTCGAGATGAAGGCCACAGTTACGTCTTTCCATAGACTTGGTATTTACGATAAAATTGGACAAACCCTAAAAATCCCCAGTAGTGTAACCTACAAACAGCTTACTTGGATTGGCTTGGACTCACCTCGTGGATTGGTGTCACTGTTTCCCCAGTGGAAATAATGGGCATTGCCCTCATAACCAACGACCAGTTACCAATCCCGTTCATTTCCTCCAACAAGTTGCATACAAAAGAACACGGCAGAAACTACGAGGGGTCAATATATATATAATTTATATATTGATTGATGACCAGGTGCAGGATGTCTGCCCAGCATGTGGTACAGGCCCTCATACCACACTGCACTTGTTCAATTGCCCAGCCAAACCTACTCACCTCACTCCGGAAGATCTGTGGTTACAGCCAGTGGAGGTGTGCATATCACTGTGAAAACATGCAATTCATACAAACTGAAATTTGAAATGTTGTCATATCACTGTGGCTGAAATTTGAAAGAAGCATAAATTTGAGTTCTTTTTAAGCTACTTCAACCGTGTAATTGTTGCCACTCAATCCAGTCAGCCTTATCCTTGTAAAGGTATGGTTCTTGGATGAATGCAATGTCGATGTTTGAGGAGAAAAGGGTGAGCGGCTGCTACCTTGCAATTATTCAGAGATGCTGAGTAATCAAAAGTCTCAACTATTATCATCCTGGTTGTGCTCAAACTACTCACAGCTTTCTCCTCCTTTGGAGGGGATACTACGGTTGGCTAGGCACGCGACTTGGAATTGTTTCAATTAAGTATTCGCAATGTCATACGGTTTAGAGTTCCGAAAGAACT